ATGCATTTTTCTTCCAAAATTTGTGTCATGGAGCAATGCTCAAAAGACTTATATAAAGTATACTATACATATAAACTTACTAATATTTATTTTACTTGCAAGAATGACTTATCATTAGCAGCAGACAGCCACAAACACACAGACATGGCAACAGCTACAAGCAAGATTGACTAATGTAGCCACTTTTCTCATCCTGTTCTGATTCTCAGAAATGTCAGCCCTAGCCTTCCACCATGTGCTCCCCTGCAGCTTGTGCCTCTCCTATCAGAACGCTCATCTCTTTAACGACCTGCCGTCATTAGCCCAGAAGCTCCTTTGAAGGCAGGAAATTCATGTCTCTTACATTATTAAACTTCCAGTGCCTTGCTTGTGCTTTGGAACAAAGTACATGCTTAATTAATATGCACCGAATTGACTTTCATTGACCACAGAGTGATGTTTAAGTTGAGCTTTAGACGATGAATTTTTTAAGTGTCTCATGGAGGGAAGGGCATTTGGGGCTGAGGGGAACAATCTCTGCACAGATACATGTGTGCTATTCAGTATATTTTCAAGGTCTGTGATGACCTTCATATGCTGGTGTGCAAAGGGTCATGGCAGGAGACGATGTCAGCATGGTAATCAGGAGCTACATCATGCAGGGCCTTGTGTCCCTGCTAAAGAATACAGACGTGACACTGTAGGCAATGGGGAGCTGCAGGAGGAGACCTCCGAAGAGACTGGGTAAGAACATCTGGAGATGGACTGCCTGCAATTGAATTAAATCTCCAAAATTAGCTAACTCTGGGCAAGTTCTTTAAGCTTCCTAGGGCTCAGTTTCCTCGTCTTTAAAATGGGGGTTATAACAGTAAATAACCAAGGAGCTTTTGGATACAACGCCAGAAAATAATGCAAGTAAAATAATTAATATAGCATCTGGCACACAGTAATAACTCTGCGAGTGCTATTTGCTACTATTATTATTGCCTTATTATCACCAAAGGGTTTTAAATAGCAGAGTGACACGATCAAATTTGTATCTTGAAAGTCACAGGCCCATTCGCACCCTGAGATGAACAGAGTACTGAGAACTGATGAGGCTCTTTCCGCTTCTTTCCCTTCTTGATTGTTTTCCATGGTAGTCTCTCAGACGTGAAGGACTCCAGACCTCCTTTGGGTGTTTTCAGTTTCCTCTCTTAGCTTCCATGGACTGGCTGTAAGGAGGCAAAATGGACGAAAAGGACAGTCAGTGAAGTAATAGCCTGCCGTCACAGGAGTCTTAGGTGGAGAAAACAGGAACAGTCACTCATTCAACACCATTTAAAAAGCATTTCCTGTGGGTTGGAAACTGTGTAGGCACCTGGCAGGTAAGGGGAGAAGGGTCCCAGAGTCAACTAGCCTTAGGCTTCCTACTGAGCACACTTCCTTCTTCCCTTTGGGGTGCAACGAGCACAGTCCTTTCCTTTGGAACCTTGTCATTGTTTGAGCCTCAGTTGCAGCATCTGTAAAATGGGGATATTAACACATATGCCTCATCTTCCCACACCCTAAGATGACTTTATCATACCCTTTCTTCTCTCCTCAAACTTCAACACCCTCTCACCACCATTGCTTTGAGCTGATGGCCTTGCTCCCTATTTTACTGAGAAAATAAAAGCAATCAGAAAAAGAACTTCACCCTCCTCCACTTAAAACTTACCGACCTACTATCACACAGATCAATCTGAATGCACTGCCAGAGCTTCTACCCCCTTCATGTATGGTTTGGAGCCAACTCCTTTTTGTCTGCTCAAGGACCATGCTCCTGAAATTGTTTTTTTCCCCCACTCTACTGGATCGTCCACATCAGTACACAAATAATCTAAGAAAAACAGTCTCCTCACCACTCAGTCTCTCCCAGACTTCTATGTTTTCTTTAAGCTAGTTGAAGTTAGGTCTCTGTCATTTGCAACTGAAAAAGTCCTGATTAATACAGGACGCAGAGATAGTTGGCTATGGAAACAGCTCATGTACTCTTCTCCATTAGTCTTCGATGAGTAAAAGGTTACAGCCCCATACAGTTCATTCTTTCTCTTCCCAAAGGACGTGACAATTCTAAATTGTCCATCTTCTTACTTCCTGTCATCAACTTCACGGCTATACAGGAATTTCAGATACAATTGGGTAGATGTTTGAAATCTGCCCTCACAATAGTTTAATAGGGACAGATACTTTTTAATGAAACTTTAAAAAATTTTTCTCATGCTTACATAAAAGTTCTACTTACATAGTTTTTCACAGATTATCTGTTGAAGAGGAGATTTGCCTTTAGAATTTAAATGTCATAATAAAGACAGTAAAATAAGTAGGAGACATAGTGCTTAACATTGAGCAATCATATTTATTAAAAGAACGAATGATTGGGGGAATTAATAAATAAAATGAATTATATTAACAATTTGCAAATACATTATGGTCCCAGAGTTGGTTTTTGTAGCTTAGTTGTTTTGAATTTGGGATGCATTTTCCCACAAAAAAATATTATAAATAATACTTAAGTGTCAAGAAATCCCACTAAGGCTGTTTAGCTCATAATGTAGCAATAAAAGGTAAAAAAGTAATGGCCTTGTGTAAAAGAGATTTAAACAATTATGAATACTGGCATTTGAGTAAAAGTAATTTTAATGAGTAGATAAGTTGGCATATGGATATGTGGTGATTCCCAAGGGAACTTCTAAGGCCTTTCCGGGGTTCTGGAGGTCATTGTCTCCTTTTTAAATCTATTTTCTAATTAAAATGTATGCATTTCTTTCCCTTGGTACAATCTTATACTATCCTTATCATCAGCAGGATCACTATCGTTTGCTTGGTAGGCAATTAATAACTGTTGTGTTTCCTATTGGATGGAAGGGTAGGAATAAAGCGAGGTGAAAGGTAGGGGAAAATTTCTCATAAATAATTGGAAGAGAGTTGAAAAGAGATGTCACTAACAGCAAACATGTATTTGTTATCACGCATCTCAGTAGTCAAAATAAAAGTAATGTACGGAGGAGGCAAGAGAACTAAAATGTTAAATCGAGCTATATTCGGAAACTGCAGTATGCTGATCAGCCCTGCAGCCAGACCGTGAGGAAACTTGCGGAACAAAGGAAGATTTCTGCTGGGATTGTCAACAAACTATTTGTCCACACTGTGAGGGAAAAACAGAGTCTTTGAGTGGCGTTCTACACAAAATCAAATCATTCATTCTCTATGGCTAAAATCATGGGGAACCTATGGACTACAGGCTGGGAAATGCCAGCAGGCCTTTCACGCTATAGTCTTAACCTGTTTTCACTACATACTCTTATCTTTTCTCACTGTATGCCTATATGAAAGGAAAACGAGGAAACAAAGTCTTTAAATTATAATTCACAGGAACTAAAGAATGATATAAAAACTGAATTCCCAGGGTCCCTCTCAGTGTCATTACTCTATCCTCTCACTGTCCCCCGCTCTCTCCATCTCTCTGTCCCTCTGAGTCTCTCTTAGGCTCTCTCACTCTCTGCCTCTGAGAGAAAACCATGTTCCGCCTGTGGAGGGTTACCCCTTCTCTGATAAACTTTCCTTTTGACTCTCAGTTTGGTAGATGTTTGAATTCTTCCTTGCACTCAACCAAGAAGCCTTTTCTCTCAGTATAGGGCTTGAGTCCCCCTCTGTCCCCACCAACCCCCCACTAGGGGAATTGCCATGTCCTGAATCAAAAGGAAGGTGACAAGCTATGCTTTTGAGAGACTTACTATTTTCAGAGGGAGTAAGACCAACACAGAGAAAGAAAAAGTGCTCCTGGGGAAGACACTTCGACTAACAAGTGCTGACTGTTTAGAGGAGGGTGTGATCTTTGCCGTCACAAAGTGGGAAGAGTTTGAGTCTGACCTTGTGGAAGAGGATTTCAGTCAGAAGAGAGTTGGGAGAGTCTACAAGGTGACATTAACTGAATGGTACTTCATAGAAAATACAAAAAGACGAAAATATATGGCATAAGCATGATGTTACCGAAGAAAAAGAAAGTAAGTAGCGGGGTAAAGGATGCAGGATGATTTCCACATGAAGGCCATACAATGGCTCATGAAAGGCTGGTGCTGACTAGAGCCCACTGAGAATAATGGAGGTTTCAAGTGATCAGATAGCATGTAACCAGATTTTCAGAGGTGTTGCCAATCAAATCACGCCTTAATGTTCCTAGGTGCTTGTAGAACACAGAATTTGTCTAATTTTTCATATCCTGCCTGTTGATTTTGGTGACATGTGTCCTATTGGACAAATCCTTATTTCTAAAGAAGAAACTTCTGAAACTCAACTTGGTATAAAAAATGTCAAGTTCCATTTGCCAGTTTTCCCTCATTCTTCCCTCTTCCTTCCCTCTCATCTTCCTCTAGCTTTCATTGTTTGATCCTGACCAAATCATTTCATTCTCTGGGTCTCATTTTTTAAATTTCTACATGACAACACTGAACTAGAATATCCAAACTTTCCAATTTTAAAACCTCAATTATGAAATTTTCCAAGATGACAAAACAACCCATAAGGATGACACCTAATGACACTGCTCAAATCACATTGCTGTGGTTTCGAACGTGGTGACGTCTGAGCATCACCAATGACTTGGTTATCCAGTTTTTCCTAAAATTAGGCGACCCCCGTCCTCAGAGCTGATTCGGGGGTACCGAGATTTACCTAGAAAAAGTGGTGTGGAAGTTAAGTGTAGAGTTTTCCTTTAGCTAAAAAAGTGGCGAGTCACAGCAGCAAAATCTGTTCCCTCCCTTCGCCTTGAACTCAAAAGTTTTCTGGGTAGCCACAAGTAGATAAAATCTTATCTTTCTACCCTTGAGTTCCCCTTCTCGAGCTTCACACGGACTGACTGGCGTAAGCACCTGGCCCCTAAACCGCAGATGTCAGAGGTTAATTCCCCGCGCGTTCATAGAGCGGCGGGGCCGGCGCGGAGGGTCTGCGGCGGAAGTGGGCCGCCACACTTCCGGCGGCCGGCCGGGCGCTGGCCACACTTCCTGTTGATCCGGCTCGCAGGAGGGCCGGGCCCGGAGGAGGGCCGGCGGGCGGGCGGCGGCGGCCACTGGTCAGGCGTGGGCGCGCGCAGAGCTGTCACGAGCATAGAGCGTCCGTCTCGCCGCCTAAGCACGGACCAGCCTCGGCGGCCTCGCCTCCCTCCTTCCCTCCGTCCTTCCATCCGGACCTCGGTCCCGCTGTGCAACACCATGCCTGCGGTGGACAAGCTGCTGCTGGAGGAGGCGTTGCAGGACAGCCCCCAGGTAACTTCCCGCCGCTCCAGTTCCCCTTGCCCGAGAGCTGAGGCCGAGGAGGCCCCTCCAACCCTGGGGAGGAGGCGGGGAGGCTTCCTGGGGGGCCAGAAGGGAGTGGGCTTGGCTTTGCGTCCTGAGCCCGGGATGTCCCGGGATGCCCCGGGATGTGGGCATCCCTCAGGCAGAACTGGAGAACCCAGGGGAGTCCCTACAGCCGGAGCCTTTGTGTCATGACCCCTTTCTAAACTCAGCTGAAACTGAGGCTGCCTGCCTGAACTTCGTTCGGTCCCATCACTTACTAGTTGAGTGTCCCTGGCAAAGAACTTAACCTTTATGTGCCTCAATTTTGTCATCTGTAAAGTAGGGGTGATAATTTACCTGTCTCATAGAGTTGTTAGAATTAAGGAAATGCCTGTAAAATTGTTAGCAGGCAATGCCTGACACAGAGTAAAGAGTTATGTTTATTATTACTGTTATTACTACTGCTATTAACGATGTGATGGGACCTAGTGGATTTAGGGCCAGAATGGAAGGCACAGCCTGGATCTCTTTCTCAGCGGCGCCGGGCCTCCCTTTGGCACTGTTTTCTCATTCGTGAAGAGAAAATTGACAATACCAGCCCCATTTATCGCACAGGAGAACTTCATTAGTGCACTTGAGAGTCAAGTCCTTTGAGTTCTGCAGGTGAGAGCTGGTGTGTAAATATAGCAAACGAGTGCAGAATGACATTAGTTCATAATTCAGTGCACCTTTCCCCAGGGAACTTTTGTTCTCCATTACCATTTCCCCAGCTTCATATCTATTCTTCTGGTTCTGCATCTCTGGGTTATTTAAATAAATCTCTTTATTCCCTAGTGTCTCAACTCTTGAAATATTAGGACGGGATTAATCTCTCCCTTTCACAGTATCCCTTCTCTTTTTGGTTTCTTTCCTTTTTCTTAGTGAATTGTAGTCCCGGGATGGTGGTTGATGGGCTTACCTATACACATTCTGCCTCTGTCCCGTTGAGAATAACTAGTGGAAAGGGCTGTGTGCTTAGTTGTCTTGTGCTCATCTCTTTGTACGAAACTGTAAGCAAGCTGTTAATTTTTTTTTTTTTAATTTGCATCTGCTGGTCTGATTGACTTTTCAAAGCCCTCTTTGAAGTCTCTAGACTTTTGGCATTTTAATGGGACCAAAGCCCTTAGATGTCATTTTATCTATACTCACATATATTATGTGTAGGACTGAAGATAATAATGTAGAATTTCTAATGATAACATTTTGAATGAGGATTTCCATTTGCTTTGTAGTTGGAGAAACAGGTGCAAAGATGTATTGCTTTCCTCACTGAACATAGTGATGGCTAAACCAAGTTAGAGGTTGCACTAACTTATTCTCCATGTTGCCCTCACCGATAAGTCACGTTTTGAATTTTGGGATCGCACATAAATGAATATGTACTATTTATTTCTGCTGGTTTACAGGATTTGCTCAGCTGTGAGGAAATAGAAAGAGGCCTGGCAAACAAGTCAGGAGACCTGGGTCCTAATTCTGGCTCTAACACTGAGTTATCATGTGACTTGGGCAAGTCACTTATCCCCATCCTACGATTGGCTCAGTTTTCTCATCTGCAGTAGAGGGATATGGAGCAAATGATCTTTAAGGGGCTTTAGAAGCTTAAATTTTTATCATATCTGCATGGTTTATAACTCTGAGCTTATATGTGGAAGAAGAGGTTTAGAGACATTGTCATTCCTATCAAATATTCCTCCTAATGTAGGGAATTTGTCATTGTTTTTGAGACTTGGGTGTCACCCCACTAGGGTTCTTGGTAAGGTTGTTGAATAGAAGCTAACTTTCAAGAAAGTCTTTGATAATCATCAGAACATATTTAAAACTCTTGTGTGGGTATGTGCCTAATGCAGCTTTACTCCCAAGGAGATTCATAGACTTGGAGCTGGAAGGAACCTAATCCAGTTCCTTCTTTTTATGTGTAAAGAATAAAGACAGTAGCAGATACCTTTATCACACATGCATTTCATGTGTCAGGCACTGTTCTAAATGCTTTATCTATATTAAGTCACTTAATCTTCCCAATCTTGTGAAATAGCTGCTCCATTAAAATTACCAAGGAGCAGAGAAGTAAAATAACTGCCCAAGATTATACACTGTAAAGTGGCAGTCAGGGTTGGAACCCAGGCAGTTTGTCTGTATTGTTCAAGTTTGTTCAGCTACCTACCACCTGGCTTTTCTTTCATCAGTGACCTAAAATGTTTCACTGAAAGGAAAAGATCCTAAGAAACCACCTATTGTTTCCTCTAGTTTTATATTCAGTAGTTAGGAGAATTGCTCCAGTAACCTGGTTGCACAGGATTCATTAACTGAACGTAAAAGCTTTTGTATTTGAACTTAGTGACCCAGGAATCGCTGAATAGCAGTTGCCTGATCTTAGATACTTCTGTTCATTTCCTCCTTTTTAGTACTGCATGTTGCGTTATGTGACTTGTCTGTGTGCATACACATGTTATTTCTGGTTACCTCTCATATGTGAGGCAGATGTTTTAGGGATTAAGATACTTGTCTCTGTTCCTGTTTGCGAGCCTCTGCTCCTGGCAGAGGCTGCTGGATGCTGGGAAGTAGTGACAGATGAGATAATAGTGACAGATGAGATAAGAGTGCCTGCCCACCACTGGTTCACAGTCTGTTCCGGGCGCCAGATAAGGAAAACAGCAGTTCCAGTACAGTGGGAGAGTATTGCTGTGATAGGAACACAAGTGCAGCTTTGAGCTGCTTCAGCTCATTCTTCTTCAAGGGCTTATTCTCTTTTGTTTAAGTTGTCTGCTTTTGAGATAAGGTAAAGACAAAGGCACTATTGCTATGCTGTTTTGATTTGTTTATTTGTTTCATTTGCAGTTGGCATAACTGAAACACACAAAGATTAAAGACTTAGTTCTGAGATTATGCAGTGAGTGGTCCAGCTGGGAACAGCCCTCTCTGACCAAACCAGGCCTTTGTTTACTCAAGCAAGATGCCTCAAAACATGACCTGGTGGCTATGTCTTCATTGTGGAGTTTTGTCCTGCTGTTCTCTTAGTTTTACAATACATTTTCCTTTCAGTAGATTTGGTTCTACTGAGACATTTCTATCCCTCCACCAAATTATGGGTGTAAGAACTTTAATTTTTTTTACCTTAAAAAAATATAATATGTAATATATATTTATATATAATTAAAAATATATTTTATAATCAGAGCTATTAAATTGTGCCATTATAATTAGATGCTAATCTTGAGTGAAAAATGCCCAGGACTATTTCATTAGGTAACACCCTGTTTCTTTAAGATAGAGGGATGGTGTGGAGGTGAGGCTGTATCCATGGGGTGTTTGGTTGTGTTTTTCTGGCCAGGCATACTCTTGAGAGTGTAGGATAGTGGATAAAGGATGAACTTCAAATCCTGATTCTGCCACTGTTACCTTAGGCACGTTACTCAACCTCTTTGAGCTTCTGTTTCCACATCTGTGAAATTTGGATAAAAAAGTTACTTAATGGAATTCTTATGAAGAATAGATAGCAAACGTAAAGTGTCTTCATGCCTGCATGTCATAGAACTCTGTAAATGATTGCTGTTATTATCTTTATAAACGATATGCACCAATGTCTTTCTGACTTATTTGTAGCGTTTTTGAGCAACTGATGTACCTTTGCCTAGTCCTCGGTCTCATTCCTTCTTCATTTCAGAACATTCCTGTTGTTCCAAATATAAGTTTAAGCAGATGTGGAGCTGATCAATGTGGACATCAAAACAGTGTCTGAGGTAGCTGAGGATGTTTTTTCAGGGGTGATCGTGGCCTAGTTGAATTAGAAAGAGAAGATTGGAGTTTTCCTGTCAGTTCTAATGGGTGTCATAGTAAATATATCCAAAGTATAAAGAAAGAAAAAAGACAACACTTGGGATGTAGTTCTTTGGCAGTTATCATAGGTGAGAGCTTGATAGTAGGATGACCAAAGAGAAGCCAGCTCCAAGCAGCCTTTTCCTGCCTCCAGGCAGGACTGTGGGCTGTGGACCTACGTGCATGCCCACTGATAGAACCCACCTTGCTGGGTGATGGATGCAGCCTCCCACAGTGGAGGAAGCGTGGCCATTTGGTCCAAGCCAGACCTGGGTTTACATCCCAGCTCTGTGCTTCCCCACTGAGTGAAGCTGAGTTTCCCACCCCTGATGAACTTCAGTTTCATCATCTGTAAAATGAGATTACTGTGCCCATGGTACCTGCCTCATAAAGTTTTCAGAAGGATTAAATGCAGTAACACATATTTAGTGCTCAGCACAGTGTCTGACACGTAGGTAGAGTAAATGGTAGTTTTCGTTTTCTTACTATTCTGTGTAAGACATTTATACAAGTGCTCTCTTTTTATCTTACCTCTCTTTCCCATTCTGTTTTGTTCCTAAGAGTATTAAGAACAGTAAATAGGATGGGACTAAATGGATTATCAGTAGTAGTAAAAAACTTGAATATCCTCAATCCACTTGTATCACTCATTCCTTCCCATTCTCCTAGACTTGTTAGTCATAGCAGATAAGGTATCAGAATCGTAAACATTGGTAGGGCCTACAGCATTGGCACCATGAGGACAAAAAGGTCTTCTCCTGTTAAATGACATTTATGGATAGCTGTGTAGATAACAGTGTTGCTGTAGTGTTCAAGTGAAATCATACATGTAAAGCCCTTAGTGTTCAGAATATAATAAGCAATAAAAGTTCATTGTCTTCTTCATAATCAATATCATTTGCTATCACTCTGTGTCAGGCACTGGTAGGCACTTTATGTACATTCATTATGTCATTAATTCTGCAAATTTGGATCCAGGACTGACGATGGACCCGAGGGGATCCCAGATCCTTTGAGAGGAACCAGCAGACTATAAGCTCCTAGAGAATGAAAGTCGGTTCATATTACCTTTGAGTCTTAGTTCCCACCGCAATGTGTCAAGGATATTGGATGAAGGGAGAGCTGTGTGCATGAATGAATGAGTATAGAGCGATAGAACACTCAGTGTAGATTCTAAGAATGTCTTTTAGCTATCTTTTTCCAAATATTATGGTTTAAAGAGAAGGAATGAAGAATTCAAAATCAATGTTTTTCACCTACTGGTTGACATCCATTAATAGATTTTGAGATCTAGTGAGTCACAACCATTGTTTTTGTTTAAAACAGAATAAAACAGGAAAGAATGGAATAGAAAAAAATCAGAATACGTGAGCACACTTATGATATTGTTTGGTAAAATGTGTCTTGTACTGTGGATTTTAATTTTGAAAAGTTTGAAGAACTCCGTTCTAACACAGGAATTCCACACTGTATGTACCCTGTTAATGTTTTCCTCTCGTCAAGAGCTTTTAAACAACCTATCTACATTTTCCTTATTCTATGCATTCTGGTCTTTCTGTGGATAAGAACTGGTACTGAAGAGAATACATTGGTCTCAGAACAGGTATTTTTAGCCTTAAAGATTACCTGGGGCAAAGCCAGGATGAACGTGTACTGCTCTGAAGTGCACCAGAGTTTGTGGAACAGACCATCCAAAAGCCTAGGTTTCTGCTCCAGTTTATTGGATTTCCTGCGAGGCCAGATATTGCTCTCTTACCTGAGACAGGTTAGGAAAAAAAAGGACCTAGAATTCATTTGCAGGGAAATAATGAGCCTCGATGGATTGTTCTTTGTCAAGTGCTTTGGTATCACCTCATTAAAGGTGTTTCTGTAACTTTCCATTCTAGGCCTAATGGGTTATTTTCTGAAATAGAGATCCCATTATCACTAATGTAGTATTTTAAATTTCCACTGTGCTGGGCACAATTTGCTTTGATTCTTCTTCAGAGACCATCCAATGTATAAACATTTCTTCAGTGCTCAGCGTGTCAGATAGGAGACGCCTTTCATCTAATGTCAATGCTCCACTGCTCTCGGGACACTGAGTAGTTAGTCTTCCCGGGGAAACTGAGCTAGCATTCTTGTTAAGTTGCTATTTGAGTTTCGTGCCCAGATCTCTCTCCAGTGGACCCAAGGTACATGAAATTTCCTGGCCATGAGTTTGAAATTGGTTGAATAAAAATATGACTAAAGACATGAAAATTGACTATAGTACCATAAGAGGAAAGAATGACACAATCTTGAAAGATGTCCAAGATGGCAGACAACCAGACAGATGGTTAGCTGCTGGGATGATGCAATACTGGGCGTCCCCGCCCCAGGTACACAGACAGGCCCGATATTGTGTTCAGTTTATGGGCTTGAAGGAAGAGGCTGTCCTAGCACTTTTTCTAAAATGGATGGACTTTACTGGTGCTTAGGTAGGGGCTAAAGTCAAGACAGATAATAGCCCTCGTATCTTAATCTTTTAAAAATTGGCTTTCCTTTTCTGGCCCCAAATTGTATTGTTTGCCCCTAAAGGATTAGAAAAGAGAGTTCCAAATTAAAGCTGCAGGAATCAATTCATACAAGTATTATCAATAAAAGAATAAAGCCAGAGAAGAGGCACCTTCCCCACCCCCTACATTTCTGTGTGCGTGTTTTCTACCTCCTTTGTAAATTTTCCACTTAGAAATAAAATTGACCTCTTTTCTTCTTTCCTTGCAGACTCGCTCTTTACTGAGTGTGTTTGAAGAAGATGCTGGCACCCTCACAGATTATACCAACCAGCTGCTCCAGGCGATGCAGCGCGTCTACGGAGCCCAGGTATCCTGCCGCCCCCTCACCTGGAAAGGAGTAGAGGTGGGGACCTCAGCCCTCACCTAGAACTTCTCTTGGGAGGTTGAGAAATTTGAGTCAGAACACCACCATTTCAGTTTTTGAAATAAAATCAGAATTGTTTTTTCTTCTTCTGCTCACCTTCAAAAACTAAGGGCAGTCTGTTGTCATTGCTGAAGAAAGAGGGCAGTTTTTCTGGAACTAGGAGAACCAGTAGAGAGGGACCACATCACTGCATTTAATTTTTTAAAAGATTCAACCCCAAAGGGAAACACTTGAGTCTCCTCTTCCTACTTGTGGATGAGTGGGTTCAGTATTCTGAAACATGCCCTTTGTCTTTCTCATAAATGGGAAGTCTTAGATGTTAGTGCGGGTGGGTAGAGATGCTTTTTCGAGTGCTTCCTCTGAAAAGCCTTGAGTCACAGCTCTGAAACTATTGGGTGGCTTCTTTGTTTTAAGGAACAAATATCTCTGGCTTGCAAAACCATGGCAGATAAATTGCTGAGTAGCAAAAGTGAATTTTTCAGTTAAAAATAAAATTCATTATATTATACATCAAAATATTATGGCAGCTCATACTTTTCATTACTCATTTTTTGCTGACTTAAATATGAAATGTTAATGTTTTTTTCATTGATGATCTTAAATACCACATTCAGTATATAATAGTATAAATACTCAGTCATTTGTTATTATATAGCTCTTAATATTCATATGTAATCATTTATAATCATTGTTTTGTTAGTCATTTATTCATATTGTATATGAGGAAGAAGACTCAGTCCTTGCCATTAGGGAGCTTACAGTTGGGTGGGAGACAAAACACCTAAGAGCGTTAGGAGAGACGCCACCTAACCCAGAGGAGCTGTGCTGGGTGCCCAGGGGGAGGATGGTTGTGATAGTTGAAGTTCATTGAACACTGACAGCTTCCAGGCGTGGTTTCACGGCTTTCGCATGGATCATTTTATTTAAATTCCCCAACAACCCTTTGTGAGGTGGATGTTGCTGTGTTCATTTTCCGTAGGTCAGAGGCCTAAGGATGCTGATGATGTGTAACTTCTCCACGTCCACCCCTTAATACATAGCAGGGCAAATCAGCCTGAGGTCAAAGCCCAAACTCTCAGCTACTGAGCATGAGATGATAGTCTGAACTAGACAAATGGCAGTAGAAATGGAAAGAAATGGATGGATTTCAGAGGTATTTAAGAGGCAGATCAGTGATCAGTTGAATGTGAAGGATTCAGGTGGGTAGAGGATGAATCAGGAGTGATGCGCAGGTCTTTTGACTTGAACATGAGGATAGACAGTTGGGAGAACAGAGGAAGAGGAGTGGGAGGTAGGTAGGCTCTGTGTGTGTGTGTGTGTGTGTGTGGTGGGAATGTCGGTCTCTTTTTATAAAATTATTTATTTATTTTTATGGCGACATCGGGTAACGAAATCCGGTTAAGTTTTAGCTGTAGGGATGTCAGTCTCTTGAAAGCCTGATCTTGAAGTGTCCATGGGACATCAAAATGAGGAAAGAGATCTTGTTGAAAGTTCAGATCTAGAGGTCAGGCTGGAGAGATAGAATTGCAAACTATACTGTAGAAGTGTAACTTATTAATTGGAACTGATCTAACAGCCAAACTAATCAAGCTCATTTGGAAGCTCGTTTGTTCGGTAAGACATTCAGAACCTGAGGACATACTTTGTCAAATTTTGGGCTTATACCTGAACTTTCTTGCTATTCAGTAATTTGAGTATTGTTACCTAAATGATTTGTTTTCTACTTAAGATCTAAGAGCATCAGACTTAAGGGACTGTGTCTCTTCCACTCCCAAGAGCCTCTGTTCTGCCTTTCCATGCCTGTCACAGTCATTTACTTGGAGATGTCCGAACACTCTCTTTACGCACTTTGTCTTTTGAGCCAGAAAACTACATTTTGCCAAAATTAAGTGGGTCTTTCATTCCAAGAGGGCTTTAATTCACGCCACATGATCATCACATGGGTTCTTCTCCTGGCCAGAAACCTTGCTCCTGCCTCGGCATTTCCTGCAGCAGAGGCTAGCGGAGACGGCTGGTTAGTGCTGCCAAACCCAGTGACAGCTTCGAGCAGTGGTCAGTGGCATTCAGATCAGCTGGGTCAGGGTCAGCTGGTTTTTCAGGTTTATTCGAAGACAAATATTTTGTTTTATTTTGTTTTTAATTAAAAAAAGAAAAAGTTTTCTGACTCCTATTTGTTTATATAGTAATACTTCTCAATATTTTCATTGTTTTTTTCCCTAAGTTATGTTTTCTTGGTTTATTTAACATTGTTCCTTAAATATTTTATACCTAGATCTGTTGAATTAGATTAATATAGTTTTATAATTTTATTTTTAAAAGCAGGCACTTAGCAAGATGTGGTTTTTTATTTTAAAAACCAGGTTTATGCTGCTGATAAATGATAAATGTTCATAAAAGATATTTTAAATCAAACCACATAGTAAATCTCTGTATTCCAATGTAGTGAATGTCCTTCGTACCTAAGTTTTAGAAAGAGGAAGAGCAAGAAAAACTGGAGGAAAGTTCTGTGAGCAGTTTTGCTGATTGTGTCTGGTTTAGGGGAAGTTTTAAATTTTATTTGGCTTCAGTGTTAGAATGAAGCTATAGTCTGTAAGCTGTCTTCAGCATTTTACAGCTGTCCTAGAGTCACATCTGGTCTTTTCACTGTCAGATGTGCCTTTGCACGTGGTGAGAATGGAGTACTGCATTATAGGTCATTTGAACGAAGGACGTTGTACATATTTCTTATACATTTACAAAGCAGGGACAGGTTACTTGAAAAGATCTATTGTCTTTCAAACTATTGGCTAAGTAAGTTAAAAAACCTCCATAGTGTCTGCATAGGTGCGTATGTGTACACACGCTTCCCTGGACTATGGGAGCTCTCAAGCAGTCCTCCTGTCTTCAGGGGGGTGTCTTTCCCCTTCAGTCACGCCCAAAGCTCCCTCCCCTCCCTGTCTTCAGATGCTCCTACGGCTCCCTGTAACCACTAGGCAGAGGTTAAACTCCTCAGCAAGGCACGCCAAGCTCTTCGTGAACTGAGTATTAGCCTACTTGTCTAGCCTCCTCGCCTTTGGCTATTCCAGAATGTGCCAGGCCCTAGACACATCTCAAGGCTTTGTTATGCCATTCCTGCCACCAGAAATCCCCATCGACCCCTGCCCTGGGATATGGTCTTCCCAGCATGTAAGACTGACCTCCAGTCCGAGGTGTCTCTGGCACCTTGCCTTTTTTCCTTCTCTCCCTTCCTGGCCAGAGTGCACCTGTGTGCCCAGATGTCCTGTGTACTTGGCGATCCTAGCTCTTAAGGAGCAGCAAGTGGGGTTTCCTTGTCGCTCTGTGGACTCAGCTCCCAGAGAGCAGTTCTCTTGGTGTCCAGTGCCCAGCACGGTGCCTGGCCCCGTCGACTGTTCCATATGTAGGTGTCGAATGAAGGACTGAATTCAGGACATCACCTAGACGCCAGCACAGGCCACCTGTGCACTTTATTGTCACTCCCAAATCTATATCCCCTTTCAGATTCTTAGCTGAGGGCACTGCCATCCGCCGGCCACTCAGACTGGGGCCCACTTTTCTTGGGCTCCTCCCTCCCCACGCACCATATGCTGCTGTTTCTGCTTAGGAATCCCCTGCAGATCCCCACCCCCTTCCCCACTGTCCCGTTGGGGCTCGACCTGTTTTTATCTCTCCACTTCTTCAGATGGTCTCTTGACCCTCAAGCCATTCTCTCTTTTCGCTGCTTTTTCATGCCACAGCCACCCATGACTTTTCTTCTGCTCACATCTGATCCTGTCATTGTCTCGCCCAAGTCCCTCAGGGCTTCCGCCTTGCCTCCAGAGTAAAACGCGGCAGAGCCCGCACTCAGCAGGCTTCCATCCACGCAGGGCCTACCCCAGGCACAGCTTTCTACCCCGTTCCTGCCGCATTGCTCACTGCTCCCTCCGTGCCTCCACCTGGAGGTCCCCTGAACCAGTGCGACCTATGACCCCGGCTTTGTGGTCAGTGCTGCGGTAAGTCTGTACTTGGCAGAGACCAAAGCAGGTGCCTACATCCTGACTTTGACTCTGGTGGATTCCTCTGCCCTTGCCCCCAGCCCCCCATTAACCACGGATGGTGCCACCCACAGAGGCCTTTGGGGGGTTTCAGGTGACATTTGCAGTTGATAAGCACTCTCTGCCACTGTGAGATAAACATTCCTTTGCCAAAAGCTCAGTTTTCCTTTTGGGTTTGCTAATGACTGGTCTTTCTGCCTTGGCGACGGCCTTGGGAGGTTCTGTTTAACACGGTAGGAGATCTGTCTGGAAACCCTTCTGCGGTTGTCTTTTCAAAGGATTCCTATGAGGCATCAAATAGCATAGATGGCAACAAAAGAACTATTCCAGAGTGTCGAAGGAATCTTACAGAAAGCTATTGAGAATCTAAGTTTTAGGCCAGCCTCTTTTGTTGGACTATGCTAGAGAAGTGTGGGATTTATGTTCCTATCATAAGGCCTGTGGGGACTAACCAGATACGGTCTGGGACTCTGAGCTAAAATCGCATAGTGTGAAGAACTTGGCCTTTAGATTTCCAGTCCGCCAGATCTGAATTGAGTCTTTGCCTTGCCAGTTACTAGTTGGGGGATTTTAGAAAGTTACTATATACTTTCTGATAGTCCTACCTCATAGATAGGTGCATTGCAAGGATTAAGTGTGATAATACATGAAAAACACTTAACAGCGATGTCAAGTACCTGCTCAGTAAATGTGACTCAGTGAATGTGAGCAGCTATTTTTTTTATTGCTGTTGCTAATATTTACTCCATCCAAACTCCAGTTTTGCAAGTTGTGTTACAGAGATAATTGTGTAGGCTTACCTGGCAGGGTGTGGATTAATTAGCTGAAGTTGTATAAGCATTTCATAAAACCTTTGTGTACAGTAGATTAAGTTGAGTCAGATTACAGTTGATCTAGTTGAGAGACTTTTCAGGTAATGTGCTCTGTACAGGAAAGGTTTATTTCTTCAGGACAGGTGACAGGCAATTTTGTACTCATGGTTTGTTCCCGGTGAAATCATACTGGTAGAACAGAATCCTGCAACCCGAAATTACACACATGTGAAAACACGTAGCATTTTCATAAGGTATTTCTAGGAGAGACCTGGCAGAGTCCGATTACACATAGTAATTTTGGAAAGCAGCTGTTGTACATTGTGCCCCCGTCTTCCCTGAGCAACAGTGGCGTTGTGTGAGTGACACGTAGGTCCTCTCTCCTTGAGTCTGGGTGCAGTCTGATGCTGGCAGCATCCTGGCCAGTTTTTCCATTATGTTTGGAGCAGTTGCCAGTAAACGCTAAAGAAGAGAAAAATTCAAGTAGCCTGTGGCCCTTGCTCGTTTTGAAAGCCGTGAGGGGGTTTGTCTTATCCCTTGAGCAGTCTCTAAAGGAGACACATGGGGGAGTAAAATTTTAAATTCGGTTAAATTAAATACAGAAAAGAATGACTTAGAGTAGAAAATGTTCCTTGAATCTGAACTATTGTAGCTTAATGGCATATCTCCTGAGGGAGGTGTGGCAGAAGTGGGTCTTCTGACACGGTTACTGTCTAAAGCAGGTTTGGGAGTTTACTGCCCTGGGACTGGCCTCTTATTTTTGTAAATAATGTTTTATTGGAACAAAGTTACACTCATTCGTTTATATATATTTTTGTGGCTGCTTGCATGCTACAACAGCAGAGTTGAGTAGTTGTGACAGAGACCAGCTGTCTCACAAGCAAAAAATAATTACCGTCTGTCCCTTTACAGGAAAAGTTCGTCAACTCTAGTCTAAAGCAGAGACTTTCTCAGCTCTTACCTTTTAGCAGGAATTGGGATCTTAGAGAGTAGTGTTTTAAGATTGTGGATTTTAAAATGAGACAGACTTGCATTCGCATCCTAGCCCTGCTGCTAAGTATCTATGTGACCTTGGGCAAGTGGCTTAACCTCTCTGTGCCTCAGTTTCTTCATCTGTAAAACTGAGTTCATTGGACCTGCCTTACAGGACCTGCCTTGCAGAATTAAATGAGGTAATGCCTGGAATGCACTTAGGGTGGTGTCTGGCAGGAATTAAATGCTCTGTTGATGTTAGCTGCTGCCGGGATGATCCTATGGGTCTACAAGTCATGGTTTGCATAGTGCTGACCCAGGGATATGCCAGGGTCGCTCGAACAAATCCATCTTGAACCCACTGCTGCTAAGTGAGAGGAGAGGAATAAGGGATTTTCTGATTCAGCCGAGCATTTGCCCAGTGAGTGGGCGAAGATTGTTGTTCTCATGCACTCTGATGAAGGTGGTCGACAGGCTGCTTCCTGGCCAATTGCTTCATCCCTGTTCAGTCTTTGTATTTTATTGACTCCCTCACTTATGATGTTTCCTTGTAGGATTATGGAGTATTTTTCCCTTTACACCACAATCCCAGGTATTGTTTTAAACTTGGAATTTAGATGAATCTTCTAACCTTGGTCATTCCTTCATTCATCAAGCATTTGTTGAGTGCTTGCTGTGTGCTAGAAACTATTGCACATTCCTAGGTACATGTCCAGCAGTGCTTATGGATTTGTTCACTTGCCTTCCGCTTGGCTGCATGGCTGCCAGCTCTGGTTTGTTGTGAAAGGGGTAGCACCCCCAGTAGGATGCCAAAGCCAGGAACTTTCATTATATTTGCCGGACTTTATTCTGAGAGAAAAAGGGAGAGAGCCACATTTCAGGGTCTATTGACGCCTGTTCCTTGGAGAAGATGAAGGAAGTCGGGACAGGCTGCACAGTAGTCTGCAAAGGCCCAAAAAAGTGGGATTAGGCTCTGCGAGGTCTTGCAAGGGAAGATCATAAAAAATAAAACTAGTTCCTACAGAGCTCAGGCCTTACCCCTAAAGGAACCGTAAACCCAGGAGAATTAGTAAGTGGAGGCCGAGGCCAAGGTAAGCCAGTGCCACCTCATGAGCACCAGGTCACACCCAGTGGCGCTGCCTTTCCCTTAGGAATAAGTCCTGAATATGGACAGTTTTAACTGAGCTCTGGAAATGTAAGACACATCTAGGCTGGTGTGTTGGTGGTGGGAGTGAGGAGGTAGTGGTAGAAAACTGCTGTGTAGCCTGAGATTAGAGGGATAAATAAGAGAAGATGAAAAAAACAGCACAAAATGGGCCTCCCCGGGCGCTGCAGCCGTGCTTCCCAACCTAGTGTTCCAAGCTCAGTAGAATCCGATCATGTCACAGTGCTGCTTAAATCCCCACTGCACTGAGAACAACGTCTACATCTGAGCCACGGAGCCCTGCGAGCCCTCGCTCCGCCTGCACCGCCGCATGTCCCGCCTCCACACCCTGCGCCCCTTGCTCCAGCTGTTCTCTGCCTTTCAGCTCTTCAGACAGGCCGTGTGCTTTTTCCACATGTTGGCTCCTCCTTCTAGGGAGCTGTCCCCATGGCTAACTCCTAGTCTTCAGGGGTCTGCTTAAAGCATCTCTTCCTTAGAGACCCTCTGGGTCTTCCTGTCACAGCTCCCTGATGCATCCAGTATTTCCTTTGCCGTCTCATTATGTTTGTAGCTATTTTTCGATGTCTGCTTCCCCAGTGAGCCCTGCGACGACAGGGACGTGTCTTTGTTGACCACATTGTAATTGCTCACTGTGTTTGTTTACTGACTGAATGTCCAGAAAGAGCAGTAATTTGTAAACGGCGTGCATGTGTGAGGGGGCAAGCTTTAACCTTCGAATGTGTTTCGGTCTTGTTTTCCAAATAATTTCCGAACGCAATATTATTTTACACCCACATTATTTTTAAGGGATTCTCTGGGGTGCCATTGTTCAGTGACTGTGTGTGCATGGGACAACTCTTACTTGCTTTTCTTTTCTCCCTGCAGAATGAAATGTGCCTGGCCACCCAGCAGCTCTCCAAGCAGCTGCTGGCGTATGAGAAACAGGTAGGTGATAATTATGCGGTGTCCGAAGCTGTGCTCGGGACCCTCCTCAGTGGGACTCTTTTAAAAGCAGTTCTCCAGAGGCATTCGTTAGGGACAGACTTT